CCCAGGCCTGGAGGGGAGCCACGCCCACCTCCCCAGCCCCTAAAGAAACCTGTCCCTGCCCTGTGGGCGTCCCTCTGCCTGGGAGGCTGTCAGTCACTGACACCCTTGTTGGTTCCAAGTAGCTGGTTTGCTCCGGCTGGGACGCAGGGACCCGTCCAGGGAGGAGGCTACCCCAGAAGAGGGAAGCAACGGCAGGGGCACAGTGCCCCAGTTTGCCCACAGACACACCTGGGGGAGGCGAGGAGGGGGCTAGAGGTCAGGTCTCTGCTCCCTGTGGTACTTCTCCCGCCAGCCAGACTCAGAACCCACTTCCAGCACATTCTGTCCAGGGCGGTCCCTCGATGGGGCATAGTACCTCCTCCATGCAGCCCGGGGGCGTCTGTCCCACCTCAGCCCAGCACTGCCCACTCCTGGCCCTGCTCCCAGGCTCCCCTTCCACTGCTGGCCCCATCGGGAGCCGGGCCCCATGACTGCACAGCTGCCGGTGCTGTGAGCAGGAGCAGGGATACCAGCTGCCTCGGTTCAGGTTATTTCTCCCTGGAGACCCACGAGCACCCCAGGCTGTGAAGGTCAGGTGTGCACTCCTGCCGTCTGGTCAGCTCCATCCTGCAGGGCAGCGCCCAGCGCCCTTCGTGTCCCCGGGGCAGGGGGCAGGGAGGCAAGCTGCCAGACCCACCTGGTGCTGGGTCCCCTGCCACTGCCAGCAGGAACACAGACCCCGGCTTGGACCCAGGGCCCATCTTCTGCCGGCATCTAGAAACCAGACTGGCTACCTGGCTCTTGTCACTGTGGGTGAAGCATTGTCCATTCATGCTCCCAAAGGGCAGACATGTCCGGGGAGAGAGCAGGGCAGCCTTCTCCCGAAGGGGTTGGGCAAGCAGGGTCATGGGCAGCATCCACCTGCAGAAAGTTCTAGAAGAGGAGAGAGACTCCTGGGCCCAGAGCAGGCTTCATCCCTTGCTGTGCTCAGCAGACCCCGAACCGAGGCCCTCAGCTGAATGGAGCAACAGTGTGCAGGCTGGGGGCCCACGTTGGGGGGTGGGGGGGGTCCTGCAGTGGCCTGGTTGCGTGGACAACACTCTTCCCGCAGTGGGTACTGGAGCACAGCATAGCTGGGAGAGTCGCCCAGTGAGGGGGGCACCCACAGCAGGGGGTGGGAGGGCGGCAGGTGAGGGAGCACCCAGTCCCTCCGCTTCTGTGGGAGCTGGGTCTCTGTGACAGCTTCCCCTTCCCGGCAAGCCCTGCGAAGGCCGCTGCCCTGCCCAGACCCAGGATGCCCCCCAGGGACACCCACTGTCCTGACCTAAACCAGTCCCCAGAGAGTGAGGCCCCAGGCGGGTGGGGGGCCTGGGATCCCCTGCAGCTTCTTTGTCGAGCCCCACCCCTTAGCTGGGTGCCCCTGCCGGTGACTGGTGTGCCCCTGTGGACCCGGGGTGCATCTCCTCGGCTCCTGGTACATCGAGTGGGCCCCAACCTGGATTGGGTGCCCAGGTGGCCAGAAGCGCTCGCACATCCACCACGTGCAAAGTCTTCACCCCGGCGAAGGACATCACCAGCTCTGTGAGGGAGCAGTGTTTTCTGCTGAGGGTTCAAGACCTGGGCTAAGGCGCCAAGAAAGGTCATTTTGTACATTAAATACACATCAGGCTTACGTTTTCTTTTATTTGTTTTTTTTTCTAAGATCTTATTTATTCATGAGACACAGAGAGGCAGAGACACAGATAGAGATAGAGGGGGAAGCAGGCTCCCTTTGAGGAACCTGATGCGGGACTTGATGCCAGGACCCTGGGGTCACACCCGGAGCCAAAGGCAGATGCTCCACCACTGAGCCACCCAGGTGTTCCTCCTTTATTTTTATTTTTTAAGATTTTATTTATTTATTCATGACAGAGAGAGAGAGAGAGAGAGAGAGAGAGGCAGAGACACAGACAGAGGGAGAAGCAGGCTGCATGCAGGGAGCTCGACGTGGGACTCGATCCCAGGTCTCCAGGATCACACCCCAAGCCAAAGGTGGCAGTAAACCGCTGAGCCACCGGGGCTGCCCCTCCTTTATTTTTTAATGAAAAATAAATCAACACAGAACCCTTCATTTCTCCCTGTGGAGTCGACCTTAGGGTCCACTGGCTCCATGGAGCCCGCGGAGAGGACCTTTAAGATCCTGGGAAGGTGGGACCGGGACTGGGGAGGGTGGCTGGATCTGCCTTGGCACCGTCTCCGTGAACGGCCATCCCCGCGGTGTGTGCGGTGAGGCCTGTGGTGTGCTGCCCACACCGCCCTCTGGGACTGGCCCACCAGTGGCGCTGCCTGCAATTCCTTCCCGGTTCTGGGGAAATGCAGATGTTTCTCCGAATCCCAAGAATCATCATTTGAGAAACCGGTAAGACGGGAAAAAGGACTGTGATTCCCTTAGGACAATTAGAGCCTAAGCTCAGCATAAGGATGGGCTGGCTGGGGACACCCCTGGTGCCGCGCACAGGCTGGAGTGGAAATGGCAAGCATGGCAGGGATGAGTTGGGGAACTGGGTGTGGGTGTGGGAGCGGGAGTGACATGGGCACCCTCCCCGGGAGCCGCTGTCGTCATGATATGCCTGATGGGGCCTGGGTGCTGCCACTGTGAGTCATGCCTGCCCACAGCAGCCCTGGCTAGCCTGCCTCCGACCCCGAGGGGGGACCCCCGCCCCCCCGGAACCCCTGGCCTCCAGGTCCTGCGGTGTGGGAGGGAGGGTCCCGTGCTGGGAGACCATCCCCTGGTGGCCAGAGCCTACCCTGTGACCAGGGCCCCCGGGTTGGAGTGTCTGCCGCAGGTCCTCTGATGCGCCAGTGACACAATGTTCATTATTAGACCAAACTTTTAGATTTTCCATGATGTGGAGTCAGGCGTCTGAGAGATGCTGGCATGACCGTGGGAGACCTAAGGGAACCATCCACAGGGAGCCAGGTGTTCAGTGCCGCATCTTCAAAACAGAAAGCCCCGGGATCCCTGGGTGGCGCAGCGGTTTGGCGCCTGCCTTTGGCCCGGGACGCGATCCTGGAGACCCGGGATCGAATCCCACGTCGGGCTCCCGGTGCATGGAGCCTGCTTCTCCCTCTGCCTGTGTCTCTGCCTCTCTCTCTCTCTCTCTCTCTCTCTCTCTCTGTGCCTATCATAAATAAATAAAATAAAATAAAATAAAATAAAATAAAATAAAATAAAAACAGAAAGCCTCAAATGTTTCCCATGACCCTATCACAGGAAAATGGTGCCTTATTTTTATGGGCAACCAGCAGTGCTTAAGGCACGGAAATAGGCGGGTAGTGAAAACGCCCGAGAACGTGATTCTGGGAAGGCACCGGGGCAGAGATTCTGACTTCTTCCCGGATCTGGACCATGAGCACCTGTCAGGTCCTCACTGCCTCCATTCCTGCCACCTCCCTGGCCCCGCGGGCCCTGTGTTTGGGGGGGGGGAAGGCCGTAGGGTGTGGCCTGGGCGAGTGCGGGTGTGTGCAGGTGGTGCGCGCAGAGCAGGCCTTCCTGCAGGAGGACACGCAGGTGCGGTGGGGGCGGCTACAACAGGGTGGGCGCACCTGGCTGGGGCCCAGGGTGGGGACACACCGGGTGGGCCACACATGCCACACGCTCTTCCCCGCCCCCACCGTCCGCAGAGCACGGCCCAGGTGGGGGAGCCATCAGACGGGTTGCCATAGGTCACTGAGCCCACGGCTCCGCGCCAGCTGCAGCCCTGCCTCACTTGGGGGTGCCCGGGGAGCCCCAGGCCTGAGCGGCTGCTCCGAACTGCCTGGTTCCAGTCCTGCATGTCTGCTCCTTCATGTAATAAGAACATTTTGATTTCTGGGGGCACCTGGGGGGGCTCCATCGGGGAAGCCTCTGCCTTCAGCTCAGGTCATGGTCCTGGGGTCCTGGGGTCCTGGGATCAGGCTCCATGTGGGGAGGGGAAGGACTACGGTGCCATCAGTGAGGGGCCATGTTGGGCAGGCCCCCGGGTGCCCCCCACCCCAGCTTCCTGAGACAGGGTCCCTTCGGCACCTGCTCCTTCCTGCTTCCCTGTGTCCCCCGCTTGGCTCGTGCTCTGGCACGGCCCTGTTTCCCCATGAGCCCCAGGTCTTCATGGGTTAGACCCAGGGCTCTTGTTGGGGCTCCTCCATCCAGTCCTGCATGGGAGGGCACAGGTGCATTCGTGAGGAATGAAACCCGAGGGCGGTGAGGGTCCGGAGCTGTGGAGGCGAGAAAATTAAGGTCATTCCACTCTAAGTTCAGCGCTAGCACAAGTACAGCCATCCCAGGCCCCGGTGAATAAGCTGAACTCTACCTTACTTCAGTTACAGGAAGAAAACAGCTTACAGCTTGACCTCCTAGAAAGCCCCATATTAGAATAAAAACAGAGCCCAAGCCAAGGGCAGGAAGCCCCTATTAGAATGAGAACAGAGCCCAAGCCAGTGGCAGGAAGCCCCATATTAGAATGAGAACAGAGCTCAATGCCCTTGAAGGCCCCATATCAGAATGTAAACAGAACTTGAGGAATTGCTCCAGCCCTTCTGGAGGTCCTCTAGACCAGACCCTAAAACTAAGCTGGAACCGACTTCGGGGTCCAAGTCCCTGCTCGGCTGTGTCGGGTACACTTGGACCCAAGCTCGAGTTTGTAAATAAACCCTCGTGTGTTTGCATCGGTGTCGGCTCCTTGGTGGTTTCTCGGATTCGCGATCTTGGGCACGACAGGAGCAAGCAAGAACACAGGGTGGATGGCGCTGACTGGCCCTGAAGAAGCAGAGCAAGTTGGGGATGGGTAGCCAGGGGCCAGAAGAGACAGAGATGGGACAATGAGCCCCCTCCCTATGCCCCAGGCTGCTCCCGTGGCCCTGGGTCCCAGAGGCTCCAGAGACCCAACAAGTTCAAAATGTCCGTGTGGGGTCCCCCGAGCTTGTGCCCATCTCATCAGCGTCACAGGCCTCCAGTCCTCGTCCCCTTCCTCCTAGAAACCTGGGCTGCAGAATCGGCCCCAGCCCCCTGCCCCTCTCACTGCACCCACCCCCCGCCCCGCGCAGCCCCCCGGCCCTGGGATCAGGCGATGCCCCCTCTCTCCCTCCCACTGCAAGGGCAAACCCCAGATCTGGCCACCACCTGCTCCTCTGGCCTGGCCCCCAGTCTGCCCAACCCCTTGGGGCCAGCTCTGTCCCTGGGGCATCGTGGGAGGGACAAGGGACGGGGTACTTCCCACAGCGTATGAACCCTTTCCTTCCGTGCACATTCGTCCTCAGAGTACAAGGTCACCAGGGCCACAGAGCAGCAGCAAGCGTAGTGGAGTGTCCCTCAGGAGGCATAGGGAGAGCAGCGGGCAGGTGGACCCCATGGACGGCACACGGGTTCACCTTAACGTGGGAAGGGTGCGTCTGAGGTGCCTGAGGACTGTGTTCCTCGGCCCCTGGGGCAGGGTGCTCACACCTACCTGGCTGTGGACCACAGGCCCCACCCCCACTGCACCTGCCCAGGTGGGGAGGCCTACCTGGGCGTCTTGGGGAGCTGCACTCGGGGGGGTGAGGCCTCCTCTCCTCCTCGGGGGCTCTGGATGCAGGGGCAGCACCCCGGCCCAGCTGGCGGTCCCCGTGTCATCAGGGCGTGACTCTGGGGCCTGCCATCCCTCCAGGTGGCCCTTGTCCTCCGTGGCTGTGTTTACCTTCTTCCCGTCTCTCTAGCCTGCCCAGGCTCCGGGCATGCCCCCATGGTCCAGCCAGAAGAGCCACCCCATGCCCTCTGGGGAGACAGATGCCGACCTTCCACCTCTGCCCTCCAGGCTCGTCTTTACAAGGTCCTTATGAGGTCCGCTCTGTCTGCCACCCACTGCCCGGCCAGGCCGGACAGACCAGGGTCTCCTATTTGGGGCGGTCTTTGTGCCTTCCAAGCTCTGGCCCAACCCCAAGGAGGACTTGGAGGCCACCCCAGGGATCGGCTGTCCTGGCTGCTGCCCCCCTGGACATGCTTGGGACCAAGACCCAGTCTTTACCACGCCCTCCTGGCTTTGGCTGCCCCGCAAGTGGTGCCCTGGGTCCCAGGCACACCCGGGGTAATGGGTGGAGCTCACTGTTTGCCTGAAATCCGACCTCCCTGGGTGTCCTGTCCCTCAGGCGGGTATAGTCGTGATCTCCCACAGGCCTTGGCTCTCCAATGGAATGTTCTGGAAAGTGGCCCCAGGGCCGCAGAAAAGGGTGCCTGGGGCCGAGCTCTCCCCCACCTCCACCTGCACTGCAAAGGGGTCTTCCTACAGCCGGCCCCACATCTCCACCTTCCAGAATGGTCGGCACACAGCAGACTGCACCATAGGACTGAGGGTTTTGCTAAAGAAACCATAACTTAAATTACCTGGAGGACGTAAGGTGCTTCGGAAGCCACAGCCAGTGTGTTGCCCAGTCCTGACCGAGGACGTCGCCGGCCAGGGGCTGAGAAGCTCGGGCAGGGGATGTGTCCGTGGGCAGGCGGAGAGCTGAGGCAGGGCTCCAGGGTCTCTGCTGTGAAACCTCCGCATCCGTTCATGGGGCCCCTGGCCGCGGTGCACCCAGGGCCCTGGAGGCTGACCGTTCTGTGCTGGGGGGTCCTAGCCTGGTGGCTGGTCCACAGCGCCCGGGGCCTCCACTCACCGGGTGTGGGTAGCACGCTCGCTCCCGCAATGGGTGAGGCAGCCTCAAGCAGGTCACAGCACCGGGGGCCGTGCCTGAGGCAGGGGAGGCTCCGCGGGTCCGAACCAGGGGCAGACTCGGGATGAGCTGCGCGACACCGACCTCAGCTGCAGCCCTGGGTGAGCCCGGGATACCTGCACCTCTCCCTGCCCCCGCAGAGCAGAAGCCAACGTCTGGTTTGGTTCCCAATTCCCTGAACCACTAGAGGAGGCACCTTCCCTGCCTGGGGGCCTGATCAGCATCGCGAGGGTGACGAGGGCAGTTGCCCACCGGCCCAGAGGAGCAGCTGTGCTGACCTTGGTGGCTTTGCCGAGCGTGGTCCCCACCCCTTTCTAGGATGACCCGGGCTTTGCTCACCTGTCACCGCCGGTGCATGCAGCCTGCCTCCCCATGTGCTGCCAGCCCCTGCCGGCTCACCCTCCAGTGGGTGCAAGGACTGACCCGGGCAGCAGGTGTCACGGGGTGGCGGCCCCTCTTCCTGGTTACCATGTGCCTCCCACCTCTCCCAGTGCTGTATGCTGCCCCTGAGCCAGCACATGGCTGGGGCCCCACATCTGATCCCCAAATCCCGGTGCTCTGGGCCCATGTGGCCGCTCCATCAGCTGCACCCACTGCCAAGTCCCATATCCCCAGACATGCTGCTGCTCCCTGCCCTGCTGCTCCCCTGCCATCCCCTTCTGGCAGAGCTGGTCCCACTTGGGTTTTGGGTTTCAGCTCAGCCTTTGGTGTGGGAAAGCTTGCTTCCATCCCCTGTGGAGAAGCAAGTGCTGCTGTCTGACCTCTGCCCTACTGGGGAGGCAGGGGGAGGCAGGGGGAGGCAGGGGGAGGCAGGCGGTGGCAGCTGGGAGGGGTGGTGAGGGGGGTGTCTTATGAAGTGTTTGTAGAGGGAAGGCAGGAGCAGAGACCAACCCAGGGACCGGACCTGCTCCGATGCATGTAGAGAGCGAGGCTTATTTGTCCTCGGGCCTTGGTCTGTGGGCCTGGAAAGACCCCAGAGCCGGTGTCCCACCAAGGTGTGTGTGGGGTAAGGCATAAGGGGGCACAGTGGCCATTCCACCACCCTGGCCACGGGCCTGGCCTGTGCTGTGTCCCTAACAAACCAAACAGAGGTATTTGTGGTCTTGGGGTGCAAATGCCTTGCCTGCCAGAGCAATGCCCTGGAAGGAAGGCTTCCCACGGCCACAGGAGGGGGGCAGGCTGCAGCCCAGAGCAGGGAGCGGCCATGGTTCCGGCAGGTGCCCCCACTTGCTGCTGCAGGGGTACAGACACCGAGGCTTCCCGAGTAGCCACCCACGTGTCCTGTGCTATGTGGCAGCGCTGGTGCTCACGGCTGAGGGTAGGCAGGTGGGCCTCTGTACCTCTCAGCCACATGCATGCGCAACTCGGATTTCACAAAAACAGCAGCCATCTGAACACAGTGCAGAATCCGGGGTGGACAGGAGGTGGGGTCCCCTGCTGGGCTGGCACCCAAGCCCTGAGGGCTGGCACCCAAGCCCTGAGCGCTGGCCCCTCACACTGTTGGCTTGGGGAGGCCCTGGGCCCACGTGCTGGGGCAAATGTTCATTTTACAACCAGGGAAACTGAGGCCCAGAGACTGTGAGAGGCTGAAAAAATATTAAAAAATCAAAACCAGGGATCCCTGGGTGGCGCAGCAGTTTGGCTCCTGCCTTTGGCCCAGGGCGTGATCCTGGAGACCCGGGATCGAATCCCACGTCAGGCTCCCGGTGCATGGAGCCTGCTTCTCCCTCTGCCTGTGTCTCTGCCTCTCTCTCTGTATGACTATCGTAAATAAATAAATAAAAAATTAAAAAAAAATCAAAACCAGCATTAAGACAGCGTAGGAGTCATCTCGGGGTGGGGGCAGCTGAATGGCAGCCCCCAAAGGCGTCGGTCCCACCCCTGGAAGCTGTGCACTCAGCGTCATACGGGGCAGGTTGGCAGGGACTCAGTTTAGGATGCTGGGCTGCAGGTTATCCTGGATCATCGGGTGCCCCCCCCCCCCCCCGTCCTTATCTGGGAAAAAGCCTCGCCCACATCCCCCACCCCACCCGGGAGCCAATACGGCCGGCACAGCCCCTGCAGGAGAGGCCGTCGCGGGGCGGCCGGTCCTCGGCCAGGGCGGTCGGCAGGGTCGGCAGGACGAGGGGCCCAGCCCCCGAGCCGCGCCCGCAACTGACGCTCCCCCTCCCCGCCGGGCCGACTGGGGGCGGCTGCGGGGCCTGCTGGCCGGGGGCAGGGGGCCGGGGGCGGGGGGCCGGGTGCGCGGGGCCGGGAGCGCAGGGCCGGGTGCGCGGGGCCGGGAGCGCAGGGCCGGGGCGGGGGGCCGGGATCGCAGGGCCGGGAGCGCAGGGCCGGGAGGGCAGGGCCGGGGCGGGGGGCCGGGTGCGCGGGGCCGGGGCGGGGCGCCGGGGGCCGGGAGGGCCGGGAGGGCCTGCGCGACCGTCTTGCCGCGGAAGGGGTTTCCAGGTCGTGGAGCTTTTCTCCCGGTCGGCGAGGGGCACGGCCTTCCTTGTACGCGTCTGTCCCAGGTGATCCCAGGAGAGGCCGGACGCTGAGCGGCGAGGGCCCCCGGCCCCGGGTCCCCTCCTCCGAGACGGCGGGTGGGGCGGCGGGACCACGGAGAGCCACCCTCGCCGGCGCGGGGCAGAGGCGCCCCCGCCCTCCTGTCTGGGAGCGTCGGCAGCCCGGGGGCAGGGCCGTCCGCGCGCAGCCCCGGCGCCCCCTGCCGGCCAGGTCCGCACGTGCGGGGCTGCGGCGGGCGGGGCGGAGACCCCTCCCACGGGCTCGCGCGGGCGGGGCGGTCTAGACTCGCGGGCGGGTCTGGGCCGCCCTCTCCCGACCCCCCGCACGCCGCGCGGCGGCCCTGTGGTCCCGAGCCCGGGTTACGGGGTGGCTCGCCCGGCACCGCCGCCTTCGGGGGACGCCGGCGCCCCTGCGAGGCCGGGGCCGGTCCCCCGGCGCGCCCCCGCCCCGCCCCGGGAGCACAGGCTCGGCACAGGCGGCGCGGGGGGCCGCCGTCGCATCCCCAGCCCCCGCGGCCTCGCCTCTGGGCCCTCGGGCTGCGGGCGCCTCCGCCGTGGGCAGCTCCTGTCTTGCTCCCGTGGCCCGCGGTCTCCCTCCGGGGCCGGGGCTGCGCCGCTCGGCCAGGCCACCGGGTGTCCCGGCAGGTGGCAGCCGCCTTCCGGGGGCCGCGGGCTCCGGGGTCTTCCGCGGGATGCGACCCAGCCCTCCGGCCACAGGCGACCAGCGTCGGTGTGGTCCAAGCGTGGCCGTGTCCTCTCAGGCCAACACACACGTGCTGTGCCTCCTGACCTGGCACAGGTGAATTTCACGGAGTTGACTGCCTTGCATGTCTGAGTTTGTTAATGTTGTGGCTGTAAGAGGCCAGCTAATCGTTAGTGTTGGTTGGTTTCCTTCAGGCTCCTAGTCAAGGCTCCAGATTTCTATTTTATTTGCATCTTCATACACCTTTGGCTATCTTTCTTCAAGGTATGAGATGGCTTAAATATGAAATTATGTCCAGCTCACCACTCCTCTCGAGGAAGCTTCTGGAGCCCTTCCTAGGCTCCAAATCCCATGAGCACCCACAGGTGTGAGAGGCGCTGCCTCAGTTCTCCGTTGTTGTGAGCGGCATGTCTGTGTGAGAAGGCCTGCGTGGATCGGCCTGCATGGACGGCAGGCTGCCGCTTGCCGGGGGCCGTGACACATGGCTTCTGTGGGCTCCGTGGTGCCCGGCGGTGCTGCAGAGGCGCATGACACACATAAGCCACGGGGCGGGGTTGTCACCGGCACCAGGACAGGATATGGTGACAAGAGCACTGATGAGCGAGGACACTGGCCAGATCCACCTGCAGGTGACAGCTTGTGAGAAATACCTGGAGTACGCCCTACTTTAATTCAACATTCAGGTTTGAGCACAAAACTACCAGCAGTGTACATGAAGCAGAACAGAACACAGAGAAAGGCAAACAAGGCACTGCACGAGAGCCTCCCTTTAGATATAATGGTTCTCAACACTGTCTTGCTAATCCTTCAAGTGCCCCAGAAGGGTGGCAGTCCCCTGGGGCTGGGGATCCTGGCTGTCAGCAGCAGCCCGGGAAGGACCCCCCAGCACACGGCCGCCTGCCAGAGCCTCTCCAAGTGTGCAGACGGTTGGCATCCTGTCCAGTTTGGTGGGTTCTCAGCAATAATCACAGGCTGTTCTTACACCGTGTTACCTGACGTCACTCATGCACCCGTGATAAAAATAGTCCATTCTTAGAATTTCAATTGTTTCAGCAACTAATCACAATGATTTCAGGGGACTCCAAAACAGTCTTGGGGAAAAAAACATTTAATGCAAATATTTAACCACTGGAACATACAAATAAATAAATAAGCTCAGAGAAGCTAAGAAAAAAAAAACCCAAGTAGAGATAACCACCCATCTCCCTTCAGTCCCAGGTAATCCATTTTCAAAATACTGATAATAAAATACACAAACTATTATAAGAAGATACAGAATATTCAACATAACCCAACCTAAGATAAAAAGAAAACCAAGGACAAACCCTAATTATTTTATTTCTGTATATCAAGACTACAAATAGCATTTAAACACTTAATTTATTATTCAAATTATGAAATTATACATTTTTTTTGATATGGTCATTGTCTTAAAAGTGTCATTCAGTATCCCCGCATTTAAAAGCATATTGCTAATTCTGGTCAATTCCATAGGACATCCCACAGCCCCAGTGACAGGAAACGCTGGGCGAGGCAGAGGGAAAACGGAAGGAGACCCCCCCCCCCCCCCCCCCCCCCGCTAGTAGTGAGGGTCACTCTGGCTCCCACAGCTCATGCTCAGAGAGCGAAATCACCCAGCAACAAGGCAGGTCCTGATAAAGTGCCTTTTTAAGGAAGGGTCATCAACACTCCTCTCCCCGGACACGCGTTTGGGACTGTCCAGTCTTCTCCAGGGCAGCACCATCGAGAAGCAGAGGGTGCAGAAGCATGGCGCACTACCCAAATACCCAGGAGGAGGGGCGGGTGCGGCCCTGGGGGGAGGAGGATGGGCGGCGGCCCCGCCATAGCAGGCCGCCACTTTGGTTCAAGTGACTCCAATCGATGCCAGTGTCTGCTCTCCCCAGGTCACTGCTGATCACAGGCCACACGCGTTGTGGGAGCTGGACAAGCCTGCCCCTCGCCCGGATGCTCTCCAGCCACGATGTGGAGCCGGACATGGAAGAGGGATGGAGCATCCCCCTCACACACACCCACACACAGGAATACCCAAACCACCACGCTGCGGTCAACGGTATACCGAAACAAGCATGCTAGTCCCGTTCAGGGGAATGGCTTAAAAAGCACAAATAAAATATTCTCATTGTTGTGTATTTTCCAAACCTAACCACTTTGGGAAAAGGCAGCAGGAGAGAAAATGCCTTTAGTTTTAACAATTGGGATTGTAAACAATTCAGCCACACGAGAAGCAGAGGGCCCTGAGAGGAAGTGTCTCCCCTCCCAGGCCCTGTGTCTCCATAGACCGAGTAAGCGCAGCCCCCGGTGGGAGCCTGGGCACCTCTGGACGGGCTCGAGTCCATCGGCAAAGCCAAAGCTTCATCTTTGGTTATTTCACGGAGTCGCCACGCATCTGAGGCTGTGCTCTTCTTGGCAAAAGGACTAAAGTAGCCACGTGGCACATAACATTTGTTATTCTAAGTTCCTTGAAAAGCAGTATCCATCTAAGTAAGTGACCACGACTTAACGGACCATCTAGAACATGGGGGGTGGGGAGTGAGGGACAGGGGTTGGGGAACACAGGAGAGCTGCAGGAGTCCGGCCCCAGCCCCCTCAGTGGCCAGGGGGCACCACCCGCAGTGTGGGCGCTGGTCACCCCTCTGTGGAGGGTCAGTCCCAGTCTCAGCTCAGCTCAGCTCAAAGCCAGCAGCACATTCGATAGCATAGAGGAGCTTACTCCGCAGAAGGGTCTCGTCGTAAAACTCAGGAAGCTTCAGCAGGTTCATGCAGGTGCTGGCCGTGGGGAGCCGCTCAAGGTCAGAGCCCCCGTTGTGAATGCAGAATGCGGGGTACAGCTCCTGAAAGACAGCAGGTATGCAGGACGCAGCTTTAGCATGCAGGCCCTTGAACAGATTTTTTGAGAGCACACAAAACCTGCCTGCTTCAAACAGTGAACCATTGTCACATTTTCCCAAAAGACATCTGGTTTCTCATTACACTGCAGGCAGAGCAGTATAGCGTACCAAATACCGTGCACTACACTTTGTACCTGAGAAAGGACAGGAATAATGTTCACTCATGGCAAACAGAACCTCTCCAGTGAGCAGGGCCTTTATGGCTTTGTGTTTTAGTCTTTAAAAATTTTGTTAAAATTCAAAAAGGTATGAGGGTCAAGACTTGCATATATATGCCTATTTGCTTCTGTTAAGACAGACAGAAGCCACCCCGGGGAAGGAGCAGAGTGCAGGGACGTCTTCTAACTCAGGAGCCATGCGACGTAGCAACAGGATATACAAACCAAATTCACTCAGGAGGGGAGAAGAGTCATCTCAAATACTGAAAGCAGAACGAAACAGAACTGTACACGGTGGCTTAATCACAGGGGGGAGGCATTACTCCGAGTGGTGTTTTTTAAGTTTTATTATTTGAGAGAAAGAGAGAAAGAGACAGAGAGAGAGTCATGAGCACAAGGAGGGCAGAGGGAGAGGGAGAAGCAGGCTCCGCACTGAGCAGAGAGCCCAACATGGGGGCTCGATCCCAGGACCCCGAGGTCATGCTTCACTTACTGGGCCTCCCAGAAGCCCCCCGCCCCTGCAGTGTTGTTTCAAGACCACTACAGAGTTACCTATAACTCCTGCATATCTATACAGAACTGTGACTGACTATGGACCCTAGAACTCACTAGAAGATGAAGCCAAAGAGCTAACTGAAACCATAAATATCATTGGTAAAACAAATTCCAAATATAAAATCAAA